TTTTAATCTACCCCTTAGTTGATAGACGTTTGGGTTATTTTCAGTTTTGGCTATATAAGTCCATATAAGACTTATATAAACATTCACACACAAGTCTTTGCTTGAACATAGACCCTCCTCTATCTTTTGGGTAAATACCTAGCATGAGGTGGCTGGGCTGTATCATAAGTCTGTGTGTAACTTTACAACAAATCGCCAAACTGTTTTACAAAGTATCTGTTCCATCTTACATTCCCATAAGCAGTACGAGAGAGTTCTAGTTGCTTCACATGACTTGCTAGCACTTTAAAATTTTAAAAATCTTGGGGCGCCTGGGTGGCTCAGTGGGTTAAGGCCTCTGCCTTCGGCTCAGGTCATGATCCCAGGGTCCTGGGATGGAGCCCTGCATTGGGCTCTCTGCTCCGCGGAGAGCCTGCTTCCTCCTTTCTCTCTCTGCCTGCCTCTCTGCCTATTTGTGATCTCTCTCTGTCAAATAAATAAATAAAATCTTTAAAAAAATTTTTTTAAAAATCTTAATACTTCCAGCAGATGTGTAGTAGTGTTTCATTGTGGTCTTAATTTGCAATTCTCTGCAACTAATGATATTGAGTACCTTTGCTTATTAATTGAGAAGGTTAAGTTTTAGCAGCCTGTTGTATTCTCTAGTTACTAATAATTTTATAATACCAGGGGCATTTGAAGTGAAAATTTCTCTAAAAAACTGGTTAAAGATTTGTAAAGTCCTGGGGGCACCTGGGTGGCTCAGTCAGTTAAGTGTCCAACTCTTGATCTCAGCTCGGGTCTTGATCTCTGGGTCATGAGTTCAAGCTCCGTACTGGGCTCCACACTGGGCATGGAGCCTACTTAAAAACAAGCAAAAGATTTGAAAAAGGTCCATACTGTACAAAAGAAGGTGAGGGTGTGGAAACTATGTTATATTTGGCAAAGGATGGTCCACCTGAGTGACTGATGACAAGAGCTGGAGAGAAAGAGCAGCACCTAGGACGTGAGCATGGAGATTGGCAGAAGGCAGATTTCCTGGCTCTGCTGGCCTTGGGACGGCTTGCTCGGGCCTTAGCTAAACTTGGTGTTTGTGAGAAGTAGACTGTGATTTAATTACATTTTCCTGAATGCCCCAGGAATCACCTGGGAAAGCTCAGCAGTCCTTTGTGGCTGCAGACTGTGTGGTAGAAGCCTGCTAAACCTAGAGTTCCCTCTCTGGGGACAATTTGCTGGAATCGGTTAATCAAGGTTGAGAAATCAGTTACCACAGGCCCAGGAATGCCACCACCCTTACATCCTGAAACCCTATTTCTCCTATCCATCTCTTAGTTAATTAAGTAAGCAAACATTCCCTGACTGCTTGCCACATGTCAGGTACTAGGAACACAGTGATGAAGGAAACAGAAATGGCCCCTGCAGACTCAGAATGTGAGAGAAATGCTTCCGGGGAAAACAGAGGCATCCCTGAAAGCACCCCGGAGGGACTCCTAACCCAGGTGTCGGTGCCAGGGAGGTCATCAAGGCAGGATCCAGGCAAGGGGCAGCTAAATGGAGACCTAAGATTGAGGAAAAGTTAGCCAGGCTGACAGTACTGGGAGAAAGGGTTTCTGGGACAGAGAACACATTGAGGGTAGGAGAGAGTTTGACCCATTCATAGCTTGTAAGTAGTTTCTTCTGGGGAGGGTTTGGGAGGTGGGGAGCAGTGTGAGAGGAGTAGGAGTCATCAGGGAGACTGGCTAAACCACCATACGGAGTGGACCTCATCCTCAGGCTGTGGGGAGCTGACAAAGGGTTCTGAGAGGGAGGGGCATAGAATATGTGGATACACAATTCATCCAACAACTGCAGCTGCTCTGTGATAAATGGATGGGAGGGGACAAGACTGGAGGCAGGGACACCAGTGACGTGGCTGTTGTGGCCACCCAGGAGTGGGATGAGAGTGGCCTATTGACTGGCGGTGATTGTGAAGTAGGACCCTTTCCAGCCAGTAACTGGAAATGTGCATAAGGGCAGAAGCAAGAGTGGGACTAACTTTGAAACATTGAGAAATCTAGTACATAGTACTGCATTCTTCTTGGTTTTGGTTTGTTTGTTCACTTCCTTGGAAAACTAATGTAGAAATGTCCCTTTGGCTTCAGTTACCTGAGCAGAGGGTTTTGGGCATTGCCAAACCCTCCTTTGTGGACAGAGTTGCTCTGATCGCTGTGTTCTGAAGTGGGAGGAGGGAATTACGCAGGCCAGGGCCATGCCAAGTTGCGAGGGGCATTTGGGAAGAGAAGCCTGTCTGTGTGTACCCAGCAAAGCCAGAGCAGAGTCTCCAGTGCTGCTTAGGGCTACTTCTTCCTGACAGCCTTCTCTCTATGTCTCTTGGAGGGTCCCTGGGCCCAGAACCCTTGTTTGGAGATTCAGAAACTCTACTTAAAGGAAAAGAGTCTCCAAAAAACTTCTTCCTGGCCTTTCTCAACTCATGAACACTCTATCGAGGTGTGTCTTATTTTCCCCTGAGATTTCCCCCTCAGATTTGGTGGGGGGGGGAGGTCTGTGCTCGGGTTTGACCATGGGGGTCTCTAACACTAGGCTATTCAGATTTTGTCTTTCCTACCTGGCCCCTACTACCTTTCCTGAAACCCATGATGGGTTTGCTAGAAATAATGGAATAGAAATGAATGTTTGGACAGGACATAACCATTTCTCTGTTAGAAGGTACTGATAGAACAGAGAAAAGTGGGGAGAAGGGAACTCATTTCTTTGGCATTTACAGTGTGCCATGTACTGTGTCAGGAACTTATTTATATTATCTTATTTAGTCTTTGAACACTCATGCAAAGTAGTTATTGTCATCTGCATTATTTTGATGGGGAAATTAATGCCCATAGAGTATAAAGGCTTGGCCAAGGGCACATAGTTGGGAAGCTGGGGTTACTCCCTATTGGGGCTCTTTCTGCTAGGTTAATTGTCCTTTTGAAATTACAAACTTGCATTTCAACCTCCTCACTGTTACCTTGGGGATCTGAAAAGATTCCTGTAGCTTCTAAATCAACTAAGTGATTTCTGGAGGGCAGCTTTTGCATGAGAAAAACCTAGCTAATTATTTATTTCAGTGTTTCTGGGATGCAGGCTCTATGCTAGGCCACTTACAAAACAATTTGGGATTACAAACATGTCTCACAGTCCCATTCTAGCTCTCAGTGCCTGGGAGGTCAGTTGACATCTTTAAACAATCAAATTGCCAACAGAATGGATGAATTGCTGGTTTAACTCTTCTTTCTGGAGTGAGAAATTTGGGGGGAGGGTCCTTGTCCTAAAGATTTGCTGAGCAAATGATAAAGAGAAAAAAGAGGTCCTAAAGCTTGAATATTTTGGAGGAATTCCCAATTTGTCCGATTGTCAACGAATGAATTTTTTTTTTTTTAAAATACAGGGACACCTGGGTGGCTCAGTCGGTTAAGCTGCTGCCTTCGGCTCAGGTCATGATCCCAGGGTCTTGGGATCAAGTCCTGCATCTGGCTCCTTGCTTGGCAAGGAGCCTGCTTCTCTCTCTGCCTCTGCCTGCCACTCTGCCAGGTTGTGTGTGCTCTCTCTCTCTCTCTCTCTGACAAATAAATAAATAAAAAAATAAATAAAATCTTAAAAAAAAATAAAACAAATAAAATACATAATGTAATAGTAGGGTCACTCCTCCTTCTTTGACACTGAAAACTCCCTCCAAGCTCTTTCCTTCTCTAGAGGTTTTAAATGCAAGTCCTCGAGGTGTAGGGGTCTAAAGAATAAAATCCTGCTGGAGGCTGATCTTTGCGTGGAGATCTCGTTTGGACTCACAGATTTTTAGTCCAATACTTGGTTTTGTATCCATAGGTGGTCACTGCATTCGTTCTTTTTGCTATTTGTTCCTTGTGCTTAATCTCCCACTCCCACCTTCCCTCCACTTGGGGCCACAATGATAAACTGAGCTATTTAGAAGTAAAGCTGGTTTCTGCCAAGAGTTCGTGACTACCGAGAGCCCGCAGAGCCTAGCTTTGACCTGTGTGTACCTTCTTCTTCCACTTTTTTTACTTTCTACCCCTTCCCCAACTTTAATTTTAGTACAGGTGCTTAAAATAAATTCCAGCATTTAATAAATACAGTTGTTGAGGGGCAGCCAGGAAACACAGAATGTTGTATCCCCCGTTTATGAGAACCATCCCTTCCCCCACCATGGGGAAGCTGTCCCCTCCGTGGTCCCCGTGGCCCCTGACGCGGAGGAGCCAGGCCGGTGCGCAGGCGCAGGTGGAGCAGAGCCAGAGTGTGCATATGTCTGGACGGTGGGAGCTTGCTGCTCTCACAGGTGATGCTCTCCGCCTGCGTTCGCTGACTTGTTTCTCCACGGGGTATTGTTTTCTTTCCACAGACACACAGCACCGGGATTGTCCCCATCATCTGGGAACCAGGTGTCAATGACACTTTCCCGGTGTTTCCTCAGGGTCTTCTCACATGCACTGTGGCGTTCCAGATTGGGAAACTGCTTTCTCGATGGTGCCATTTATCATTTGAAGGACACAACTGTGTGGCCAGATGAAAATGTACCCCACAGCAGATTTTCAAGGAATAGCAGAAATTACTCCAGATTTGAGGCAGAATTTATAACTGCGGCTAACATTTTATGAGAAGGGAGGCATTTTCTTAGGGGTGGCGGGTCTCTGGGATTCCCATATGCCATTTCCAACCTCAGTGTTTTGACTCAACACTTGAGTTTGTTTTCATAAGGGCATTTTCCAATCCCAGACGATCACAGCCATGGAGCTAAAATGATTAGAATTATAATGACTAGCTTCCAGGCGGCTGCTGGAAAGCCTCCAGAATCCGCGTTTACAGGAAAAACCCGAAGCCAGAAGCTGGGCACTCGGGACTTCCTGAGAGCAATGAGGATGCCCATCCGGGTCTTGAGGTCTAAGGTGAGGGGGCTGGAGCAGCAGCCCTCACTGGCGTCGGGCTTTGGAGCAGCGGCTGATAGCGCTCTCCCCTCCTGCTTTATCTTTCAGTTAATGACCAGCCACAGCGGCCCTGCCGTGAGTTGCGGCCACTGCCTCCACGGGCTCCTGAGCCACACGCGTCTGCTGGGGTGCTAGCAGCGGTAACATGGCTTACTGGCCTCAGCTGAGGTTGCTGCTGTGGAAGAACCTCACTTTCAGAAGAAGACAAACAGTAAGCCTGGGATTCTCCCGTGCGGGGTGGTGGGTTGGGGTGGTAGTGGTCGGGGGGCAGTGTTCTCCCTTGCTTTTCTTCATGGTTTCGAGTTCGGGGTGGGAGGAAGGAGGAGAGGGAATCCTCTCGGTTTTCTCAAAGGGACCGGATGACTCTGGCCCTGGTGGGCACAGGTCCATGTGGTCCTGAAGTAGCCCTATTGCTTATCAGAGAGGGAAGATTAGGAGCCAGGCAGAAACGTTAGCTTTAGTGTGTGCTAGTGCCCAGGCATGGGTTCTGACCTCTGGAATCTGTCATAGAGTTGCCTCTGAGCATCCCACTCTTTCCCTTTATTGCAGCCCTGGGGGCCCGCTGGCTCTGCAAGAGCACCCAAGGGCCCATCTGTTTCTGGGAGGTGGGAATGAAGTGAGTTAAGTGAGTTAAGGGCCCAGCTCCTGTAGAGACTGGTTCTCTTCGTGTCTGTGTGGACTCTCTCAGCTCTGACTGCAAGCCGGGAGGAATATAAAACTGAGATTTGTTTGACTTCCGTGGAGGTTCTAAGCCATTCATTTCCTGGATGGGACACAGAATTCATTGCGTAATCCTGAGAAGATCATCTTTAATGCTCAGGCGAATGGTATTTTTACACAGAGGAAGGGGAAGGCTGTGAGGCATGGTGAACTCCCTGAAGCCCAGACATTAGCTCTTGGCTTGTCTAGCTCCAGACACTCTTGGACACTCCATTTAATGTCCTGGGTTTAGCTGTACTGACTTGTAGTTGGCCTCTTTTTTCTCTTTTCTTTAAAGTTACATTTATTTATTTTAGAGAGAGAGAGATTGCACGCAGGGGCTGGGGGCAGAGGGAGAGGGAGAGAGAATCTTAAGCAGAACCCCCTGCTGAGCGCCGAGCCCAACATGGGTGTCTCTCTCAACGACCCTGAGAGCATGACTTGAGCTGTAATCAAGAGGCAGACACCCAACCGATTGAGCTGCCCCTGTAGTTGGCTTCTAAATCTGTTTCCCGCCTTGCCTTTTTTTCTGAGTTCTACGCCTGTGTCCCCACTGAGCTATCTTAACTAGGCTTAACATGTCTATAACCAAAATGATAACCAAAATGATCATCTTTCTTAGACTCAAAGAACCATAAGAGACCTTTGAGAGAACTTAGTGTTTCTCAAACTAGCATAATGCTTGGACCTTCTTTAAAAAACAGAAGGTCTTTAAAGAACAAGGTCTCCTTGTACTCATGAGATTTCTTTTTTATTGTAATGTTACTTAAATGTGTACACATGTGAAACATCTGTACTTATAGGTCATTACACAACCATGCAACCCATGCATACTTACAAAGGAAATGCAAACAAAATTGCAAAACCAATATAATCCAAATTCACATTGTTAATATAGTAAGATAGCTGCCTGGACAATCTATATTACTATGTGCTAATGATTCCATTCTTCAACCACTTTTCTAGTGACCTTCATTTGATGTCATTTGGCTTTCATTTGGTCCAGTCTCATCATTTATAAATTGCGTCTGCATCTGTTCCTTTCTCATTAGTCTGCTACAATTATATTGGTGCCAACACAATCACAGACACAAATACAAACTTGGGCTTTGAAATCTTGTGTCAGAAGTAGTTATAAAGTAGGCATTCAGAAAATTCAGTTATGTTTATTTGAATTTGTTTAGATGACCATTGGAATGAAAACACAAAATGTTTAAAATCCTCACAGAGGCCTCATATTTAATCCCTCAGGAGTATATATTCTAGTTTGAGAAACAATGTGGTTTTTTTTTCAAGTCCTTAATGTTATAGGTAGGGATCTGAATCTTAAGATCACCAACTAGAGAGTGGAAACTAGAATCTATGTATCCTATCTGTCTTGGTGATAATTGTAATCATAAAACATAACGTATTATTATATAATATAATAAAAGCAAACACTTAGAACAAGTTTCCATGTGCTAAGCACTTAAGTGGGTTATTAATTGGTTGAATTCTTTAGAACCCCATGAAATACTGTTTTTTCCTTGTGTTGTAACTGGGGTACTTGAAGTACAGAGAGAGATTAAGTAATCAGTCTGAGGTCCGCACCACTGGTCAGGAGCAAATGCAGGGTTCAAATCTAGATGACCTGACTTTAGCATTGGTGCTCTAAATCACTATGTCAAATTGCTTTTCAGTAGTATCATTATTTTTTCTATTTTCAGTCTCAAAATCTTGACATTTCTGGCCTTTTCCTCGCCTCTGCTCCTGTTTCTCAGAGCTGTTCCCAGGTCTTGGTGTTTCCAGGTCCTGTGTGTTCATCACCTGTCCTGACTTCTTAACTACTGCCTCTTCTCATCCTGGTGGCAGCAGCTCACATGATGGGGAACTGTCTCAGTCATAGTGTGTCCATTAGCCACTGAGAGGTGAAAAGAATAGTATTATCTTAGCAATGAAAGTAGGGCTCTAGGATGGTCCAGCATAGACCTCTCATTTTACAGATAAGAACACTGAGACGCAAAGCAGAGAAGGGATTTCCCCAACATCAAGCAAGGACTCAGGAGCACAGGGGCCTGGAATAGGAGATGGGGTTGGGCTATCCAGACTAGTCTGGAGCTTGCTGCTTCTAGCTTAGTATTGCTTGTGGGTTTAAAAAGAATTAGGATTAGAGAGATAGGCAGGATTAGTGAAAGGAGATTTGTAATCTTATGGAAGTTTTTGTTGGCAGAAGTAAAGATACAGCATCCTGACTCAAAAGGGGTTTTCTAGGTGATACACCACAAGCTTACTAGCTTGTCCTTCTTCCCTTCCTGATAGCTAAAGAAAACACATTTTGCTGAACCAGAAAAAAAAGGTGGTTTACTTCAGGTTACAGATGCTTAGATTGTCAGAGCTGGAAAGATCTGATCTGCCCCTTGTCCAGTTGATGGAACCTGGAATTCCAGGCAGAGGGGCAGGGTCCAGAGTGGGTTAGTCATGGAAGGAGCACCAGAACCAGTTTCTTGGTGGCCCTATAGGCTTTTTTCTTTTTTTTTTTTTTTTGGACTTTGCTTTGTCTGCATTGAAAGTTTAATGCCCATGGATCTTAAACTACTTCCCAACCCACCTGGCTTGGATTTCTGGATTATTTTTGAGACAATGGGACCTGTTAAGGGTTTTTTGGTGCCACTTTGTTGGCTCACATAGTCAGAACCAACCCTGTCCACTAAGACAGGGGAAGAAGCTCCATGACAAATCTTGCCTACAATGTGTGGAAAACCATTGCTTATTTCCCATTTTCTCAGATCCTAGAGTATACACACTCAGGCCTAGAGCCTGGCACCCAGAATATGCTGAAAACATATTTGCTGAACAAGTGGTGAGTGTGTCCAATGGGCCATCAGTTTGCAGGTCTCAAGGAGGCTCCCCTGTTGTAGAGGCCTTGTGTCCTACTGCCGGGAAGAATGTTTGAAAGCTGGGTGCTGAACAGTACTCCCCAGAATAACCCTGTGGAAAGCCAGCATTTGCCCTTTCTCTCTGTCTCCTTGTTTGCTGATGAATCCTGGGGATCTCTCTTGTACCCCCAGTTGTCCCCTTCATGGGGACCATCAACCAGGGTTAGCTTTCCGTTGTTTCTGTTGGGCAAAGAATACACTAAGTTACGAAAGTTGGGGGCAAAGCTCAGTTTGGGTCCAAAGTAACGGTTAACTTGTGTGGGTGGCAGTCTTTCAGCACAAACAGGGCTTGGGACAGGAAGGGCGAGGGGCTTCAGAGTTTTTAGGATCCTCATCTAGTTTCAGGCTGAGCCAAAGGCCAAGGTCCCATGGAACAGATGGGAGCGTGGGGCCATATGGTCTCTGTCTTGTGCCTTTGCTATTGTCTCCATGAGATCTGATTAGCCGTGTGGCTGGGAAAATAGGTAATTCTAATTTTTGCATGGAGTATCAGTATTTGGACATTGGTTAATGACAAGGAATAAACTATCAAATAAATAAAAATTAAAACTCCTCATTTAAAAGCCATTAGAGAATTTTCCAGGGCAGATGAAAAATTTCTACATTCCCTCCCCACTTCCAGTTCCAGCTGATGCATTTCTTCCTTGTCCTTGTTCCTGGGCTGGTAGTGACGGTTCAAATTCAGATAGTAATTCTAATTTTTATTCAATTCTAAATCAGTTCTACTTCCAGCGCGGCCACCATGTGCCTCAATGGCTGAGGGAAACCCACTTCTCTTGAGTTTTAGTTTTGTATTCTGTGGAATGAAGAAAGTTAGAACCCATAGCCATTTATTGTTTCATTTGGATACATATTTACAGAGCACCTACTACATGTGGGGGAGTGTGCTGGGTGTGTGGTAATGAAGGAACGATCCTTGTCCTCACAGAGCTTACAGTTCAGTGAGGGAAGCAGATACGAGACTCATGATCCCAGAAGTAAAAATAAAATAATAAACTGTATCAGGTGTTAGGAAGACAATAAATCAGACACACTGTGGCACTGTGTTAGATACCACGAGGCTATGGGTAGGGACTTAATTTAGGATGGAACATTATGACAGATAAGCCGAGAGCTCTGAAGATAAAGCTGGGGAAGATCAGGAGCTCAGAGATGAGGAGCACCATATTCCTAGAGAGATAGAAGGTGTGAAGGCCATGGGGCCCAATGTGTGCTCCTGAGTCAAGGAACAGAAAAGCCAGTGGCTCTGGTGGAGTGAATGAGGACTGGCTAGGGATGAGTTAGGGACTGGCAGGGCCAGATCATGCCTGGCGTTGGAGCTGGGAAGTGCAGTTGAATTTTATTTTATGTGCAAAAGAAGTCTCTGAGGTGGATGGGTCATGATTGTGAGGGTCAGATTGTGTGGTCCTTGGCACTGAAGGGACTTGAGTGACAATAAGCCAAAGGAGACAGTTGTAATCATCACTTGTATATGTACCATTTTATGTTGTTTTCTTCTTTCATTTAATGTTATTTGGTGTGCATATTCCCATGTTTTCAAATAATCTTCGTTGTTATAATACTGATTTTTGATGTGTAGACTGTGTTTTATAGTTTTGAAATGCTTTTATATCCATTATCTTCTTAAGTTTCAAAGCAGTTCTGAGAGACATGCATTAAAATTTCTGTTTCACAGGTAAAGAAAATATTGTAACTTAGGAAGTTAGCAAGAGAAGGATCTTTTGGCCCAAAATCTACCATTGCAGGATGCCACTGACATTCCTGGTAGTTTTACAGTAGTTTTAATTTGAGAAATTCATACCCTATTGCCAACATTTGAATGCTTATTTATTAACTCTCTGGACCTCAGTGTCCCCATCTGTAAAATGGATGCAAAAGCATATGGGGGTCACTAGAGCTGGGTTCCACTGCTAGTGCACTCTCTTACGAGGTTATGGGTGAAAACCTCTCCAAATCTTAGCTTCATGGTAACAGTTCATCCTGTCTCAGAGTCATTATGAGAATTAAGTATTAGAGATGAGATATCTAAAAATACCTGGTATACAGTAGGTGCTCACTCTTGACTGTAAATATTATAATTCATGTTACTTCTGTGGAACCAGTTGATGTTTTGTGACCTTGCCACTGAATGCGTCATTTCCCAGCTGGGTCACCTGCTCTGTCAATGCCATGTGGCCTCTGGAGTTGGGCAGAACTAGCAGTTAATCCTAACTCTGCCTCTGTCTCCATTACTTACTCCTCCTTGAGCTTTAGCCTTGCCACACATAAAATGGGGACAATAATGGCTCCTATATCACAAGGTTGTTTGGAGAATTGAATGAAATAATCCATATGTAATGTGCCTACTACATATTGGACTCTAAATAAATAAATGGTAGCTACTATTTATCCTAAATGTACAAATGTTAGCTTCTGAGTGGCAAGGTTGATAACTTATTCATACTCTTCATTTAATTTTGTTTTTGTTTTTTTCTGAATTCATTATTCTTTTCTGACTTCATTCACAGCCCATTTTTTTTAAAAATGGCGTAATTGTTAATATTTGTAAGTGATTTTATTTAGCTGTATGCTTGTAACATACAATTTTGTGTTCTGGTTTTTTCACTTAATATTACATGGTTAATAGTGTCTGTGTTTCATAGATGTAATGACAGTGTAATACATTGTCCAGTAGGTGTACTGTAATTTAATAATTTCCCCAGTGTTGTGCAACTAAGTTGTTTCCAATATTTTGCAATTATAGTGTTTCAGTGGATGAATAACTTCATGTATATAGCTTTTTGATATTTTAAATTCAATTCTGTAGGATGCCTTCCTATACATATTACTTGGTCAAAGGGGATAAACATGTCTTTTGACTTCATATGGCCAAATTGCTTTCCCAGAGGGCTCAACTGATTTATATTTCCATCTTTATTATTTTATAAACTTCAATTCATTCTCTTTCTCAAAATTTTTTAAGACTTTCTGTGTGGCAGGCTTAGTGAGAAGAAAGTGACAGTGTGAGAGAAAGTCCTTTTTAAATAGGGCCCCTGCTGTGCCAAGTGCTGGTGAAGGCAGGGTGTACCTGGGAGACTCCAAGGAGGGACTTCCCACTCTGCTGGTAGAAGAGACCAAATGTCATTTGAAAGCTTGGAGATTTCAGTATGTGTTGCCTCTTTGGGATTATGTATAGAAATATTAGGAAGAACAGCCATGTCTTTGGTCTTGGAGACCCCATTGACAGCATGCTTTCTTCCAAAGAGGGACCCAATAATACCTCCCCATCTCCCCTCCCCCCATGTTGCTATGTGGTATCAAATAGTATAAATTATTCTTCATGGTTATATGATAGCAGTGGATTTTTGTTCCATTCAAGAAGTAATAACATGCTTATTATGGAAGATTTAGGAAACACAGGGAAGTATTTAAAAAAAAAATCACTTGTGTTTTTAATCACCCCAGGACATCTACTATTATCCTCTTTGTATTTCCTTTCAAAAAGAAGATTTAAAAAAGAGTTTAATGGGTAATCATATCAAAGGTCTTTGGAAATTAAAAGTGGGTTATTTAAAATACCAAAATGCAATAACAAATGATAAACAAAAAAGCAAAAACACTCTGAAGTACCAGTAAGAGCAGAGAGTTTAATTAATTATGATCTATTCACAGTATGGAATATCAAAGTGGCCGTTAAAATCCATCTCTTAAGAAAATATTTTATGTCATGGAAAACACCCCCATTATAATGTTAAATGAAAAAGGAAAATGAGAAATTATATGTTCTGTATGATGCAGTTTTGTAGGTAAAAGTATTCAGGTATGCATAGAAAAAAAAGACAAAAATATTAATGAAGGGCATTGTTAGCTCAGTTTACTAGGGATTGTCTTTGGAAAGTAGGATTAAGGGTGATTTGTATTTACTTTTTTCTACTTTTCTAGAATTTTTTAATTTCAAGTTTTCCACAATAAAAATATATGGACTTAAAGATCAAGGGAAAAAATTCTGTTTGAAAAAAAAAAAAAGGGAGGATTTCAGGCCAGTGTTCTATTGACTTTGTGGCTCTGCAGCCACAGTTATAATTACTCTTAACCACAAGGCCCCGTGCCTCTTCTGGGCTCTTTGGTGTTCATCTTAATTAGAACCTCAGGATCTAGAAATGATGGGAATGGAAGAGGTGAGAGCTTCAGGCAGTGTAGCTAGTTTTCTGAACACCCCTGGTTCAATTAAATTATATCTAAAGATTTCCATCCTGTCCCTGGGTTTATTTATCCCTCGGTAACCCACCGAGGCAGGGTTTAGGTTTAGAGACACCACATTGTTTCAACCAGAGTGGATCGTGCTCACCTGTAAGTTTAATGATCTTCTAACCCACTGGAGAAGATGGTACTGAGACCTTGCTAGACAGGGAAGAAGAACTTTGCACTTTTCTCAGCTCTTTGCAGTCCCGGAGGCACAAAGGTCCATATGGAACCCTGTGTCAATTTCCATTGTCCTTTGGTGCCCTCTTCTCAGCCCAGTGTGTGCGTGGGGGGCACCTCTGTGTGCAGTTAAAGGTGCAGAGGTGCAGAGGTGGTGTGTTGAGCACAGCAGTTTGCCCCACCCCCTCCTTTCCACTAAGGGTCCTTCCTTACCTGACACAGCTCTAGGCCTGGGAATACGAAGCTGACTCAGTGCTTGCCTTCATGGTGTTCCTGTTGCCTGAGGCAGCCAGTGATAGATGATTTCGGGCTGGAGGAAAAGGCTCTGGGAGGAATTATGCATGGGTTACTGTTACAGGAGAAGGGTTTCTCACTCAGCCTGAGATTTTAGTAAAGGAAATGGTGCTGGAGTATTCTGTAGAATGGATAGTAAGTAATGAGCCAGAGGAAGCAGGATAGGAGGGGTTTCCCTTTCTTAAGGAGTACACAGAGGTATGGAATGCAATGAGGACTGCAAACAATTCAGTGTTGTTGAAGCTGGGAGAGTGGTGGCAAAGACTGGAGAGGCCATCAGTTGCTTAATTAACAATTGTGGGTTTCCCAAAGGCGAGTAGAGTTAAGCATCCATGTTATTTTTTAAATGCACAGTGCTCTGTTTTATTTCCCCCTCAGTGTCAGCTGTTGCTGGAAGTGGCCTGGCCTCTGTTTATCTTTCTGATCCTGATCTCCGTTCGGCTGAGTTACCCACCCTATGAACAACATGAATGTAAGTATTGAGCATCCCGCTGGAGAGTCTACTGGCATGCGACATTCAGGAGTGGACATAGACTACATTTGACCTGTTCTAAGACACTATCTTTAGGAAACACTGCACATGGTTTGGAATAGAAATGCTTCCAATTTTTTGATAAGGTGTGAACTCAGGAAACCATTTTCAGTCCTAGCCAATGGTAATAACAGTAATTATAATAAAAGCCAACATCTGTTTCATACATTTTAGATCATGAAAGTAAAAGCTTACTGATAAGTCAGAGGATGGTGATTAAAAGAGCCCCCTCAGGCTGTGCCTTAACTCAGTTGTCATGCGGACCTGCCAGGTTTTTTTCATGTCATTATGTCTTAATTGCACAGTTGTAAATCAGGGAAACATATCATTTTAAGCAGCGTTTGTATAGAATTGCTCAGATTGAGCAATATGATTTCATTGGATTGTTGTAACAACCTTGTACAATAGACCCTCATTGTTAGCATTTACTTTAATTTCTTGATAAGTAAATTAGGGCTCCAAAAATTTCAGGGAGTTGCCTGAGGTCACACATCTAATAAGTGACTCTCATGAAATCGAGCCCTGATCATCTGACTCCTGCACCTGTATTTGGATGATGGCTGGTATAGTGGAGGGTAGAAAATACAGTAGTGGCTAAGAACACAAGCTCTCCACGTCAGGTGACCTGGGTTTGAATCCTGGCTTCGACACTTAGTAGGTATATCACCCTGGGCAAGTCACTTCACTTCTCTGTACCCGAGTGTCCCGAATTCTATCAAAAAGGAATGACAGCAACTATCCCACATGGTTCCCCTGAGTGTCATTCTGTCATTACCATCTCTGTCTCCTGGCTCTGCTCATTGGATGGACTGTCTGCAGAAATGTGCCTGTTTGAAGGGTCAACATTTATGTGGGAAGTTTCCCTGGGACCTCTGTTCCATTGCTTCCATGTCTTTTCCTGCCATTAGCTAGCTCCACTCACAGCCCACCAACTGCACCGGTTTTTGCCAGGATACTGTTCTTCATGGAGGAGATGGGGTTAGGGTCACTTTTTAATTGTGTTCTTATCCTGGTCCCTACTCTCTCACAGCACACACTGGTAGTTATTTACCTGCTAATTTGCTAATATATCATATACATTTTCAAGTTTTAAAAAAAACCCTAAAACCACAAAAACCACAAAACCTCAAGAACATTCTATTACATGCGATTTTCTGATTTTGCCAGAAAGGAAAAGAGCATAAAATGAAATACACACTCAATTTGTGGACCTGGGAGGGAATTCTGCTTTCTCTTTTGTTGCCCCAAAGATTAATGAACAAATGCTTATTTGATTTTATTTTAGCATTACCCTAAGCTTCACTGAAGTACAGTTTTAGGGCTTTAGGGAAAACTCAGCCTTTTTATCAGCTAGGCTATGCTCTCTCAGGAATGATCACAAGTAGGCAAGACAGTGTAGTGGAAATAATGCAGACCTTGACATTAGACAAATTGAGGTTTGTTTGGATCCTTGCTACACTGCTTGCTGAGGTCGTGATCTTGTTCATGATCTTCGTGATCGTGATAATGCTGTTGAATTGTAATCCAGATCCCTCTAGATCTGGACTATAGATTCTAGGAAATGTGGAATTGCTATACTTACAGAAGGCAGATGAGATTTTTGTCTCCCACCGGTGCACTTCTTGTAACCTTACCTCCTATTCTCACCACCTTCTGGGGACCTAGCCAGAAGGGCAGAGAGCTAAGATGAAGCCTGCAGAGGTGTTTTGTGCCTGGGAACAAAGGATTAGTGTATGATTGTTTCCCATAAATCTTACCCAGTTTGAGCAAGGGCCATCAAGGTCCTAGTCACTTCTCTGGGTCGTGGGAGTCCTTTATGCTATTTGATTGTCATCCTGTATACCAAATGCCAGGTGCCCATACTGCTTTTTTTTTGGGGGGGGCGCAAATCAGGTAGGACCCAATCTCTAGGAAAAGTCTTTGTTTTACTTCCCAAGGATTAGCTTGAAATAACTTCCCCTCCACTGCCCAGTGCTGCCTGGACCAACACTACCCTATTTTGGCTGCCAGTATCTCCAGGAGATTGAAGAGAATCCCTTGATTCTTCGAGTATTTGGTTGGGTTACGTAAGCTTTTCCCTGACCTAGGCTAGGGACCTTGTTTGGTTTTCCTTGAACTATTAACAGGGAGATAAGGAGGTTAACTGAGTAAATGTTCAACAGGCCAGAGTCCCTGCTGAGGGTGCCCATAGTGATCAGATCTTGTTACATCCTTGCTTTGGAAGTTGCCTTTCTGGTTGCATTATGATAGAAGAAAAAGAAAAAAGGGATCCCACTGCTGGAAAAGCAAAGGGTAGCACTCCTGGCTGTGGCTTACTTTCTGGGGAGACTCTGTTAGCATATCTGCACAAAAAGAGTAAGATGAATAGAACAGGATTCCTCCTTTGGAGGAAGGTCATAGCTGTGGGGTAGAAGGAGTATTTCTGGCTGGACGGTGGCAGAGTGAGTCCTGTTGTAGGCTCACACCCAGAGTGCTGCAGCAGTCCCGACAGGCTCACCCACCCCCCATGATGGGGCCTTTGCCCCGGGCCGGCCACTCTGCTCCCTGCTTTGCTTGTAAGAACTCACACAGTACCGCAGCTCTGTGGAGTCGACTATATTTCTGTCACCATTTTCAGATGAAGAAGCTGAGGTAGGGGTTGAGTAACTTGGTCAAAGTTGCTACTTAGCAAGTTTCGGGGACCGGATATGAATCCCCATAGGTCTGACCCCAACCCCTGTAAAGCTACAGCTTTACAGCCCTTCCTCACTTAGAGCTATTGTTTTTAATGGCTGTAAACTCTTTTAGGGTCACAGGTAACCCTGAGAATATGATGAAAGCTGGAGCGTTGGCCTTTCTGTCCAAAGGAATTCACACATGCTTGGTCCTTTGGTTAAAAGCCTTGGTCCCAGAGCACATTTATCTTGAACCTCATTGGTGGCCCCTGTGGCTGCCTACTACACACCAAAGTGTGCCTCTGACACATGGGACCCACCCATGTCCCCCACACCTGCTATTTGTCAGCAGCTCCTCCATAATGAAGAGAAAGGAGAGTGAGGAGGTGAGTTATGGGATGCGGCTCGTTGTTTGGATGAGTGACAGAATAGCACTGACAACAAAGGTGGCTTCACAGATGACATCAGACCCCAAGTTAGCATGTATATTAGATGCCCTTGAAGAGCTTTTGAGCTGGCAGAGGAGGAGAAACCAGCAGAGGACAGTACCTGAGGGGACTGAGAAGAGTGAGCACAAGGGAAGCCTTAGATATAAGGGAAGGAACATGGATTGGGATCATGAAAATGTGGGTTCCACTTCCAGTCCTGCCCACTGACTTCTTGAGCATTTTTTAAGAAAAGATTTTATTTATTTATTTGAGAGAGAGAGAATGAGAGGAGGGGAGGGACAGAGGGAGTGGGACAAGGAGACTCCCCCCTGAGCAGGGAGCTGGACGTGGAGCTTGATCCCAGGACCTCAGGATCATAACCTGAGCTGAAGGCTGACACTTAACTGACTGAGCCACCTTGGCACCCCTCCTTGAGCATTCTTCACCTGCCACTTCATCTTACTGTGGTTTCCTTAGAGCATGAAGGAATTGAATCAGGCCATTCCCGGGAGCCCTCCAGGTCTCTGGCAGGAGAGGCAGGCAGTGGAAGGTGAGATAAGTGTTGTCAGGTACTTGCACATCAGGCAGTTATGGTGTGTAGCTACTCTGCCCCTCTCATCACTTCCCCAAGGCTGAGGTCATGAACCCCATTCTACAGATGATGCAAGTAGATTAAGAACTTCTATCTGATGCCAAGTTTCCAGCTCAGACTGGGATCAGTCCAGAGGTGGCAGGTATCTGGGATGTGAGGAATGGGACAAACACGTTTGGGTTGGAGCAATGTGTGGGTGCAACCAAAAGAGATAATCCTATCGAGGCCCGAAAATCACCTCAAAGAATTAATGTTTCTCTTTGTGTTTTTCTTCTTCTTGATTTCATAGGCCACTTTCCAAACAAAGCCATGCCCTCTGCAGGAACGCTTCCTTGGGTTCAGGGGATTATCTGTAATGCCAATAACCCCTGTTTCCGTTATCCAACTCCTGGTGAGGCCCCTGGGGTTGTTGGAAACTTTAACAAATCCATGTAAGTACTATATCAGGTTTTCTTTCCAAACTTGTCAGTTAATACTCTTCCTTCCCTTCTCAACCTCTGGAGAATTTTGAATGGTTCAATTTGAGTGAAGTTGCTTTTGTAAAGGTTTGGAGAATGAGGGCAGGGAGAATTGGTGCCAGGACCTAAGACTGTGGATCTTACTTTGGTGCATTTTAGGAGTAACAATATGTAGATTTTATGACAATAAGACTCCTGTGGTAGGGGGCCATTCTTCCAAAAACTGGTCAGTAAGTAGAGAAGAGGGAGGCACAGCATGTCAGCTCTGTCATTCATGATTAGCCTACTCACTTAGCCACATTTCCTGTGCATCTGAACTGGCTGGTCTAGGCACTGGGGGAGGTGGTACGGAGATAAGTACAGGAGGGGACCTGCCCACAAGCAGCTCATAGCCTGGGCTGGGCGAATTTGTCCCTTTGCTTCCAGATTCACTCTTACTCTGTCACTCCCTGTCATACTGCAGTGTCCCAATGTCTGCAGGTCTCTCTCTTCTGTGGCGTGAGTTCCCTGAGGGCCTGGGTGTTGCTTCCTTGCTTTTATCTTCCTGGCTCCTGGGTCCAATACTGGACATAAACATGGACTTAATAAGTGTTTGCTGATTGAGCCATTGAAGATTCTTGGAATGCACGGAACCATGGCATGAGCTTGAGTGGACAAAGGACTGTAGGAGATGTATCAGGATAGTCCCGAGGAAGTTTGCAGAGTCAGACGGGGCCACATTATAACGTCCATGGACCCTAGACTTTGTAGCTTTCAGGGACCCCCTCCTTGCACGCAGAAATATTAAAAATTTTATTTGATAACTGTGTTGGTATAAAGATGACTATAATCCAGGTTGGATTCATGATCATATATGTTCATTCTGAATTTCTGGATTTCATTTTTTTCATTCTGATTTTAGAAGGTAGTAAACTTTTTTGTGGACCCTAAGAGCATCCTGGGCCCTAGGCACTGTGCCTACTGGGTCTCCTGGATAAGTTGGCCCTGGATATGTATGTGTGTGGGTGGGTGTGGGGTGGGTGTGAGGGCTTCCTGGATGGAGGCACATGGGCTGGGCCTTGAAGGGTGGTAGGATTTGATTGTGGGGACACACAGGAAGAGCATTTGGGGCAGAGATGGTGGGTGGGCGGGTAGGATCCTGGGGCATTGGTGCACCTGGGTGTGGGGAGCAGTAGGAGTGGACCAGGGCTGGCCCATGGAACACCTTGTAGCCAGGCGGGGATATGTTTTCCTACAGATACTTTCTTCAAGCAGAGAGGCAGCGGGTCTAACCAGGGCTTTTCTTCTTTTTTTGCACCCTCTACAGCGTGTCTCGCCTGTTCTCGGATGCTCGGAGGCTTCTTTTATATAGCCAGAAAGACACCAGCATGAAGGACATGCACCAAGTTCTGAGGACATTACAGCAGTTAGAGAGTTCCAGTTCAAGTAAGCAAAAGCCTTCTGTGCGCTGGCTCATAATTGGAAATCGACCTACACAGGGGTGAGAGGGCAGCCCAGGTGGCCTGGCCCTTGCTCTTCAGTGCTTTCCTAGGGAGCTTTCCTCCTCAGTGGCTGGGCTGTCTGGCCTCTCAGCTTCTCTGCAGGAGGTATTTGAGAAGAAACTAGGAAGACAATGAATGTGCTGGCCTCCTCTGGGGAGACAAAACAGAAATCACTAGAGAGGAATGGCACAGGCCTGGCATTAGGGCAGTTGGGGGTACAGGTTGCTGCCAACTCCCAATTTTTTTTTTTTTTTTTTTTGAGTAGCCTGTATGGTTGCAGCGAATGGACAGATTTATAGACGAGGGATGTTATTTGCACATAAGAGCTGTTAAAGTTGCAACTTGATATGGATAGGTGGAAGGTAAGCCTTTATTTCTAAAAGGGAAATGCAGTTCATCTTCCACCTAGTCATTTGATTTCGTGTTGATGGGCACTTGACTTTGGATCTTTTAAAAGTGAAGTCTTCATCTCTGATCTGGTTAAGTGCCCAGGGAGCTCCTTGCCGGCCACTGAGGAAGTGTCCAAGGAGCAGGCATGGGCTGCAGAAGTCATGGAACAGTCTGCCACGCAGTGGCCAGCCAGGGGGACACTCTCCTGGGCGTGGGCAGTCACGGTGTGCCTGGTTTGTAGAGAATTTAAAAGCAGTAGTGAAGTTGACTAAAAAGGGGTCTGCTTTTTGTCATCACCATGTACCGGTGATTCTAAACAATGTCAGTCATAAATTACTCTCCATCTTGGGCCAACTGCTGCTCTGCTTTAACCAGGAAAGTACTTTTTACTCAGTTTGGTGTTTTAGGAGGGATGAGGAAGGTCAGCTTCTGCTGAAAAGCCTTATAGTTTGGGACCCACTTGGCAAAAGAAGAAGTGGTACAAAGTGCTAAACTTTCCACCAGACTTAGAGCCTTTTCTTGGGAAGATAGAACTGTGCTTTCCCTGGGCAAGAGAAGAGGCATTGGGCAGCATGGTGCCCGATGGGCTGGGGAGTCGTGTGTGGGTGGCAGGGAGCAGGTGTCACTTCCACTCAGAGGACTGACTGTGCTTGGTCTCCTGGGTTAGTTGCAATGAGCTCCTGGCTGAACCTCTCTGGTCTGCATGACCTGGCCCTCTGAGTGCTCTTTCCTTGCCCTATAGGCCCCTGACCTTGCATAGGACCCAGAGGTTGAAGCCACCAATCAAAGTGTCTGTCCTTTCTGATCCGCAGGAGGGCCCCTGCCTGGCAGACCAGAGATAGAGCTGGGGTTATTTCTCCTACTGTGGAGACTCAGTGTGTCCCACAGGAAAGAGTGCTAGGGTATATTACTTTGTAGCTTTGTTACTTTGTGAATAAGTCTTTAGACCCCTTGAGGCTACTCTTCTCATCTGTAGAGTGGGGACAATAGGAAAACCTATCTCATAGGATTATTGTGAGGAATAGATGAGATAACACATGTAACTGCTTCAAAACAGCACTGGACACAGAGGAAGCACTTAGGGAATATGAGCTGTGATTATTTTGCAGTGGTGACTTGGCCAAAACAGTTAACCTCTCTGAGCCTTAATTTCATCAGCTGTAAGATAAGAAAAACTTGCTATGTAGAGTGTCAGACCTGGCACGGTGTCTGACACATAGTAGATGTCCAGTCAGTGGGAGCCACTGTTATTCTTAGGTGTCAGTGAGGCATTCCTGAGCACCTGGCCTTGCCCTCCTCCCTCTCAATGTCATGGCTAGGGAAACCGACTAACGGACAGAGCTGTTTCAGATCTTAGTGGGGAGTTCCTTCCACACAGATCCATTTTTCCTCTTTGAGCAACTGGAGACATGAGTTAGGGTGGAGAAGGCAAGACAAACCTGTGTCCAAAAAACTTTCTCGGCAAAGCTCTGAAGAGAGGATCTCCTCTGATTTTGATTATATTATCTCAATGCTTATTACTTATTTCTGTCTTCACCCAGTCCATTCCCATCTCTGCCCAGCAGCTCCTTCCTAAATTGCTCCCACCTTTCTTTGCCTGTCTTGCACTACTAAGCCAGGCCTCAGGCTGGAAGGAAATACACAGAAATGTTGCTTCTTCCTAGGTGAAATCAGTAACTTTTTGCCAAATTTCAATAACACTCTAGATTTCAGAGAGAATCCAAGTCTGGGTTATGTTAGTATAGATCCTAACCTAGAGACCTGTGTTTTTCTGCACCGATGGCCCTACTCGCAGTATGATAATGGGTTTAGCCCTCTTAAACGTCACTGTTAGGATTGGAAGTATCCTTGGTCTCGAGTCTTGCCCTCATCAACCTTCTCTACCACACACCCTCTCCCTATGATGGGACTTACCTCTCACATAGCAGCTCATTTTGGGTAATAATAGCTCCAGTTAGCAGAACATATTCACTACCGTGCTATACCTTCCAGTCGATGAGTTTAATTCGATTTCCCTTGAAATATTTAAAGACAGCTCTTGTGGTTTTTAACCCCTTTCTTCCTGAAGTCTTTAACTTTTCTAGGATAGATATCCTCCATTCTTCTTCTGGAATATATTTTCCTCCCTGATTTCTGCCTTTGTTCTGGCTGTGTTTCAGTGTGTTTATGTCCTTGAAGTTTATCAGAAATTACAATGGTTTTCCAGCATAGAGTAGAAGGGGATTTTTGCTTCCCTGTTCTGAGCACTCTACTTCTATTAATGCAATCTAAGATTGCATTGGACTTTTTGGCATTCACGTCACACTGTTGACTCCTATTCCTCATGTAGTCAACCAATATTGCAGTCTTTTAAATACACAGTATCGCAAGTTACTTGTTCTCCATTTCTTAATCACGCTCTTGGCCCTTTAAACCAAAAGGGAAAATATCTATTTCCTTCTATTTTGCATTTTTAAATTCCCTGTGTTGTTTTGTCCTTCCTACACAAACCATTTTAGATTCTGATTTTGCCATGTGTACATTTGCTGCTGCTTATTGTTTCCTGTCATGTAGGAATTTGATAACTAGCTCTTTTTGTTCTCATATAGGTCATTAATAACTGGACTAAGGCGGGAGGTTTGGATCAGTCCACTGGAGACTAATAACCCCTTTGGACTACTCCTACTCAGGCTCTTACAGATTCACCAACCTATGGTGTCATCAGTGCTGAGCCCCTGCCCTGTGATCTAGTTGGAGGACTTGTTATTTCCTCCAAGTTGGATTCATTGGACTATCCGCAGATAATGTGTGGATATGGAGGTCTGGACTCAGTGATACTGTCTTCTAATGGTTTCCTGGACTTGAGCATCATTTTATTTCTATTTATTGGATGAAAACTTAGAGGTCTTTTAGTTCATTTGCAGATAAATGGGTTGACTCAATCAATCATTCAGCCAATATTTATTGAACCTAATATGTGCCACCCAGTGTTCTAGGTGCTGGGACACAGAGGTGTTCGAAACAAAATGTATCCAGTTCATTTGGAACTTCCATTCTAGAAAATAACCTGATCTAGAAGGGGGAGTGACTTTTCCAATTTGCACAGCCATGAGAATGTTATTCTAGAAACGGAGCACAGGTAAATGTCTGCTGCTCCACGAAATTCTCTTTCTGCAGTGCTATCTTCTGCTGTTCTAGTAATCTTTTACCTGAGAAGGTCTCTAGTTTTAAGAATGAAATCACAGACAAATCTAATTATTCTTGAAACCATCCTGATGAGAAACCCATATAAGAAGCCTCACAGAGGGGCCTTTACCTGATTTTCTCATCACTGGAACTTTTTGGACATTCTGTTATTTTCTTCCTAAACCTATAACTACACAGGTTGAGCAGAGGTTAAATTAATGTTTGGGAATCCATGTGAGGAGCATTCATTCTTCGTAAGTCCCCATCATGACTGTAACACAGTGAAAATGTAAAAACTGCACAAATTCTTGGACCTGTAGAAAAAGTGACAGGTGTAGATTCTGTCTCTGAGATGCAGACTGGCAAGGAAGAGTGTTTCTCTGAGTGTGTTTGATGTCCTATCTGAGATTATTTCAAGAAGTATATAGATGAGAGCTTTTCATTTTAACCCCTATCAAATTGCAACTTCCTGGGTAGTATCGCTTAGGAGGATGTTAAATGGAAAAAGTTAATTTAAAGAATACATTGTTTTCTGTGCATATGGTAAAACTTGTGAGAGCAGTTTGTAAATAATGGAGAATTGGAAAAGGCTGGTATAAGAGAAAGAATTTGGGGCTTTGTGTGAAGATTAATTTTGGGAACAAATTCAGGCTCTAACCCTCATTATCTATGAACCTTGAGCATGTTTAGATTATCTCTGACCCTCAGGATACCTAGAAAATAGAGATTACCCAAGGGTCATTGAACATGAGATCAGATGACATCTGCGGATGGCTAATAGTGGGGCACAGCACAACTGACACACGATAAATCTGAGTTGTCTCATCTCTCTTCTGTTCCTGGTGGACTGTTTGGTTTTACCAATTTGTTCAACCTCTCTGGGCCTCAGCTTTCCTTGCCTTGAAATTGGAACTTTGGCAAAACAACCTGAAAATGTTTCTTCTTGGAAACTTGGTCAGTTCTTGCAAGGGGTGGGGGGGATCAGCTGGGACTAGCCAGTGATGTGAGCTATCCCCTAGACTGTAGTTCTCGAAGGTAGGATGGGGCCTTATTCATGGCTCTATCCCAAGCATTAGCATAGTAGCCAGTATGTGGTAAGCAATCAGGGGATCTTTGTGGAGTAAAAGTGAGAAAAAATACCTGCCCTTTCTCCTTCACAGAGTATTTTAAGGATCAAGTGAAGTGCTTGGAAAGGTGTAAAATCCCAGCATGTGTAATTTGTGTGAACCCAAGTCAATCAGGCTAAATAATAATGACAAAGGTTCTTCAAATAGTCTCAGCTTGCTTTCTTCCACAAGGTTCACCCCAGAACATTCTAGGACATGCTGCCTTGAGCCTGGAGGCTGGAAGTGGATTTACTGAGAAGCTAAGGAAGGTTCACCCTCCTCA